AAAAAAAAAAAAAAAAAAAAAAAAAAAAAAAAAAAAAAAAAGGGGGGGGGGGAAGATGGGGGAAAGAAAAAAAGGAAAAAACACACCACTCATTCTCTGACACTGAGTAATCTACTACAAAAACAACGGAGGAAAAGAGAGGGAGGAGAAAAAGGCATGGTGGATAAAAGGCAGAGGTTGCTGTAAAACCTAAGCACATTCTGAGGGAAAAGCAGGGAGCAAGGGCTTCCAGTGCTTCTTCTGAAGTGCAACTGGTTTAGTCGGCTTTCACAGTGAAGTGAGATCTATCACAGCACACCAAGCACACAAATATGTCCACCTAAACATCTCCAAATGTAGATTATAGTTCAAGGTCTGCACTGTCATTGAATGGTTGCTTCCCTTTCATACACCAGGTTGAGAAGGATGGTATAAATGAAAGTCACTGCCTTTCCAGTGAAGATGCTGGATCTTGGGCTGTGTTCTACTATTTAACAAACTTCACAACCAGACTATTTCAAAGTGGGGTGAAAACAAATTCTGGTTGTTTTAAGCACAAAGCCTGGTTCTGATGACAAAAACACAACTGAAGTCTTCCTTAGACAGATATACTGGGTTCATGAGGACAATAGGAAAGCAGAGGGGAAAAAAAATCGTGTCATATAAGCAAACTCCTTTGAGCTGGAATTAACAACAGATTCCCATAGTTTTAGAACAGATTTGCACAATAATTCCCCTTTGGTATTTTGGCAAAATCTGGAATTGGGCAGGGCACACATGGACTCTAAACAAGCAAATACACTGGAAGAAATAAACATTTGTTCTTTTCTATGCTGTTGGTTAACACCATAATATATTACTGAAAGGTTCTATGAAAAATGTCTTCTTAATATTATATACTTAGCAATATACTGTAATTTCAATATACTGTTATTTAAATGAAACTGGGGGAGGAGACTTATGGACACAGACACTTCAAAGGGATTCCTGATGCCTAGAAGCTAGGCAAATATGGGATCAAACTGGTAGTCTTTACCTTATTCTCTTCTGGGACAGCCAAAACAGCAGTCTCCTCTGTCTAATAAGTCTCTGATGCTGCAGAGGCAGTTGCTGGGAAGCTGGTACACTAAGGAGGGTGAACCCACAACCCATCAATTGTTAAATGCCTACAGTTGTTACGACTAGGTGTGTAGGCAATTCCTAAAAGCTGATAAATTGCCACAACAGACAAATTCAAACACACTATACGGTCTTTATATACTTGCCAATCTACTGCAAGAACCAAGACTGAACAGGTCAAATCACATCTAATACCCCTGCTCCTGGCACTCTGCTCCCTGGCTGCGATAGGCATCTCCCATCGCTCCCTCTTTACGGTCCCTGATCATGTTTGTCACGGCAGACCTCCTGGTGGGCTGGGGTCCTTTGAGCAGAAGGTGCTGAGAGTGCAGTTTGATTGTCATCATACCATTCACTCACCTCTCTGACTTTCTTTATTAGTTTCATCCGGGTGGAGTGCCCTGAAGCCATGTGGGTTGGTGGACAGGGCACTGTGTTTTGGCCGTGGAAGCAGGTGGCCAGTAAGAGGCAGGTCTCACAAATGGGGTTCGAATTGGGTGCCATCCAGATCACCTGGGGAGGAATCGGGTGCATGTAGTGGGATCAGCTCATGCCCCTCACCCACAACATGCAATGACAAGGATGCCTAGACCTTGAGCAAGCTAAGCTTAGTGGCATTGCTTTGATAGCAGGCCTGGTCTGGAGATCCTAGTGAGAGTGACACAGAACCAGACAGTCTCCAAGCCGAGGTCTGAACCCTGCACCAGACTCTGCTAACAATGCTGCTGGGTACTATGGCAAGAAAGCAAATAAAAACCTCTCCTTCACAGCTTCACCCCCCTGCTGCCTGGGTATGACTGAAGAGCAGTAGGTCCGGACCTTTGTCATTGATAGATTTTGCACAAATCCATAACAGGAATCCAGCTGTCTGGATCTTGTGCTATAAGACGCCAAATAAGTAATTTGCTAATTATTTTTTCAGTACATCACGTGTGTAGGAGGACCATGTAATTGGCCATAATATTAAGGCTACATTTTAAGGTTCTCCCCAAAGAAGTTACCTTGTGTTGCGGCTTCTAAGCACTGCAGATACAGTTACAGATGCACAGCCACCAAATATACATTGTTCATTGTTCATCTATAAATGAAAGATCAGGGACTAAATATTTACATTACGCACATTTTCTGTGCAAGTAATCATCCAGAGTTGCACCTACTTTTGCAATCACTTGCCCTAAAATGGAGCCTTCCCTCTATGTGCTTGCAGCACACAGAGCTCACAGCCCTGGTCAGAATGCAGCCGAGGGACAGGGAGTGATATCCCAGCAATGCCAAAAACTCAAGCCCCTAACAGCTGACGAAGTTCAGCTGAGACAGACCTGAGGTAGTTGCTGCTTAGGGGTTTGGCCAGCGTGTCAGAGGAAGACTTCACTCAAACTATGTTCACAAACTCCTCTGCATTAGGAGGAGTGTTTTCTGCAGCTCCAGTAGGTTTGGGATGAGGCCTCCAAAGAGCGCACCATTTCCAGGAGGGAGCTTGCTCTCAGAGCCCCCAGTTACAAGCTTTTTCCCATTAATGAGCATCAGCTCCCTTTGGCAGTATGCACATCTGCTTCCTGCAATGCACACAGAAAGTCATTCTGAAAAGAAATTATTTCCAAGCTATTTGCCTCTCAGCAAATCATACAGACATATGTCAGGTCTTCTTCATTCTCATACATGTGTAAATACAGATCACAACTTTTTTTCACTTTGAACATCCATGATGTTAGTCCAGCAAGTCACAAGCATCAGATGTCTGAGATCTGCATTCATGTTTATTAAGCATTTTGATTTCAAATGCAGGTTACAAAAGTGTTCATATTGCAGTCATTTCAGCTATTTTTTCTTAAGGAAGTAGTCAGTGTAAGTTGTGCAATGCAAAACAAAATACTCAGAATATCCATCCTTTGTAACAATAGCATGATTATCTGTAGAAGCACCTGAACACCACAATGAATGTGCCTCCCTGAATAACTAATGAAATATAACTGAGATCTGTATGAAATCTGTATGACACAAAACTGTCAAACTCTTGGAAAAATCTATTTTCCTTCTCAGTTTCTCTGATTCACAGTCACCCTGTTTGAAAGCCATGTGACAAATCTGTGAGTATGATACACCAGGACAATTATACAACTGCTTACGTATAAATGACAACCTGGGACATCAGATAATTAAACCTGAATAGAAACTTGACAAGGTATCTTTTGGTTTCCTGTGGAATGTTTTGTACAGTATCACAGTCTGTCAGGCTGAGTTTTCAACTCCCGAAACCCAAATATGAACAACATTGCAAACAAAAGCCCCAGTAAATCCATAATATATAAAATAAAAAATGTTCTACATCCAGAGGTTCAGTTTCATGTTAAACTAGTGTGACTGCATATTGTCAAGGCAAAAATGTGAAGTCTTCCTGCCTTTTCTGTGGGTGAATTCCCATTGATAGGTGGGACAAGGGCTGAAACGTAGCCATTGGAACCGATTGGAGAGGTCAGCCTTGGCTGCTGCCTGACAAGTCTGGGATGTCAATAAGAGTTTTGCCTACAAAAAGGCTACAGTATCCCATATCTTAAAACAAATGTATATCATTTAAAAGAAGTGATCAAATAAATTTACCGTAAAAGTAGAGAAGATCTCCTTCTTTGGTCTCAGTTTTTCTGGTCTTTCTCACACAGAGGAATTTTCCAGGGGATTTCTTGAGAAGGAAAATATTATCTTCCATGACTAAAACTGAGGAACAAGTCTTTCACTTGCCTAGTAGTTAGGGAGCTATTTGCAAGCTATGGACAGGTGAACTTTGGATGTTGGCGATGCTTAAATACGTAGATGATATTTGTCGGAAAATGCAGAATTACCTATCACTCACGCAAAATCTATTGTTAATGTGTTTCAGAGCACATTTCCTCTGCTCCTGTGGTGAAATTGGGAAGCCTAAGTTAAACATCCACACTTGATTCCCTACTCTTGTAGGCACCACTGGTTTTGATAATACAGACATAAAACTGGAAAATCACAGAACAATCACTTCCCTTCTCTGGGGGAAATCTGATGTCTGCCTCCTTAAGACCCTTAAGAGTTTTTGTAACAAGATTTGCCCGAAAGAGATAAGGAAATAGCAATTACCCCAAAGTACAACAACAGAGCCTATTTCACTATAGTCCTTCTGGTACATTAAGTACATCTGAGACTTCCCCATTTTCCCACCATTCCAGATACCCCCCTGCTAGATTCACAAATGAACCAATATTCTCTCATACCCCCTGCTCATCTCTTTACACCCAAAACCATACACATTGCAAGAGACCATGGATCCCGTGATGTCAGAGAATTTCGTAAGTCTTTACTGTCACAGGCTGTCACTCCAGACTCACTACACTTCAGCGAAAAGTAAGTCAGCACTATATGCAGCAGGAATTTGGTTCTTAAACTTCACTTCACACTGTCTGGAATAAATATTTTGGCAAAAGGAATGTGGCAAAAAAAAACCTGCAAATAATCACATTTTCCCATCCTTATTTAGCATGATTTTTTTTAACACATTCTTAATTAGCAAGGTAGTGAACATGTGGCAGACAAAGCAATTAATGCACATTCAAATTAATTATCTGGATAACAATTCTGAATACTATAGTAATAGACTGGTCTATGTGTTAGAACTTTCCAAAGCCAAATTCTGTTTACCTATATTATTACAGGGAAGAACCTCCTCTATATCTTCCTTTAGAGAGCAGGGTTCTGAATGTGGTTTTTCTGCCCTTTGAAACTCTCTGGACAATTTATTTGAATAAATTAATTGCATTTTATTAATAACAATTTTCTCAAATTTTAAATAGCAGGTATTTTAAAATAACATTTATCAGGTGATCTTTCAGGTTGAACAAAACCTTAAAGTAAAACTGATATTGACAATAGAACAGTTGTATATTATGAAGATGAAATCATAAATATTGAAAGTAAAAAAGAAAAAAAAGAAAATATAAAAAATAATTTCCAAACCAGCATTAAAAATAACTCACTTTATAAAACACTGTTTCTCAAGACATCTGTTGAAGTAAATGAGATCCATCAGACGCCATGGTTTATAGCCTATGAACAAGAGCCTGTGAATATTTCAGCAGGACTGTGTGCAGAAGGCCCAGCCTGGAACCTAAGACAATGAAGCCACAGTACAGCTGCTCTTACTGAGTAGTGGCAAGCTATATCTACTATTTTTTATCGAGACTGTTAACGCTTATTTTAAAGAAAATTGTAGAAGGAGTAGTAACACTAAATCTAAGTCTAATTTTATCTTTAACCATACAATAATGGCTACACTATAGCGCACATTATTTGTGTTATGAAATGAACATAATAATAATGGAATAAGAGAAAAACAAAACAAATAGGACAGCATCGAGGGTGGTGTATTGTTTAAAAGGCAATATATGTAATGAGGTAGTTGTTCACCATCGGGATCTACAGTATTTCCCACTCTGCCCGCTCTTTGCAAGTGTTCCCACAGTTTGTACTCCGCATCTTGAATGTGAGAGTCTGATTCAGCTACTCTCAGCACCAGACACGAGCTACGAAAGTCTCCTCTACATGGATCTAAAACCAGACACAGAACTCAAAAAATAAATCCAAAACCTCTGTCTTTGAACGGGAAATGCTAAACAGAGATTGTGGGTTTTCTTCGACTTGGTTCTAAGTACAACAAATGCATGGCCGGGAAGTCAGTGTGTCTGAAAGACCTCTGATGCATTTTGAAATGTTTCCATCACACAGAAAAAATGTTTTCAAAACCTGTGCTTTCCCAACGAGTAACAGTTGAGCCTTTTATAGCTTTTCTTCTGGCATGGGACTTGATTAGCAAGTACAAAGATTTAGACAGAGATTTATTAAGTAACAGTTATATTGTGTTGTAATTAAAACGTAGGAAATTCGCCATCTACTTAAGCGTTTAAAAATGCTTAATGTAGGAAGCAATTACATCTCATTTTCAAATTATTCCCCTGACTACAGAGCACGCTGCGGACAGAGTCAAACGCGGCTGTATGGGCGGAGGCGGCGGCGGGACGTGCCCGCTGGCCCGGCCGGGGCGGGGGTCGGTGGCGGCGGGTCTCGAGCGCCCGCTGGGCGGGCGGGGC